TTTTTTCATTCATTCATTAATGCCACAAAAAAAAAAAAAAAAACTTATCGCCACCTACTGGCTTAACGATATGACATGCCGGGCCACTGGACCAATCCGAACGAATGTTTTTTGCTGAACGGAGATTCAAAAGATTTGAGCTACTGAATCAACTGAACGGAATCAAAATACCCACTACTGATAAGCGTAAACATCCGGGTGGTTTGGAGGAGAAAAGTAATTTTAGTTGTCAATAAGGTGTTATGAATATCTGTTTATCTGTATTGTTGTTAATTACCAAATCGAGCTTAAAAATAAAAGTTTTTAATATGTATATTTAAATTATTTTAAGTTATGAATTATTTGTCTTGTTCTGTGTGTGTGTGTGTGTGTGTGTGTGTGTGTGTGTGTTTAAGTTTACATAGCATATTATAGTACTTATTATAATATTGACCAAATATAGGTTTCCTAAAGTATGAATCCCAGAGGTGGACAAAGTACACAACTCTATTACTTGAGTGAAAGTACAGATACTGCTGATCAAATATTACTCCGTTACAAGTGAAAGTCGTAAAGACTACTAAAGTAAAAGTACAGAATTACTTTTAAAAGTACTTAAGTACCAAAATAAATGTCCATTTTTATGTCAATGCACTTTTTTATTATTGTTGTATGTAATACTTGCAATACCTTATGCCTCTGAAGCAACTTACAATATAATGCACCTGAATACACTGACTCGCTTGTAGTATCTTTGGAATAAAGAGCTTTTAGAATGTTAAAAACTTATAGAAACTAAACAAGTGAGTTGACCAAAACATTTTTAACACCCCCACAAAAGCAGCATGGTAGTGATCTCACATAGCTCTGGCAGTGTGTGCACACATCTACGAGTAGCCATTCATCCACATTTGAACCGAGTGGGCAGTGAAAATGCTGTAAATACAGACTGATCAGAAAAAAAAATCAAACCTGCTTTAAAATGCAGCAACACAACTGTAGTTGTAAACTTTACAACAGCAATACTGCTTTAACAAAACAGCAAGATTTAATTTGACATCAAAACAAAAATTTCAAAAATGCTCTTTCTTTGTGCTGCTTCAAGTCAAACACCTATTGTGCTTTGTTAGGAGACGCACAACAGTTCTTCTGCAGCTTTATGGGTAATATTTTCATTTACACAGTTTTGCAAAATCAGACAATATTGTGTCTAATATAAACCACAATATTAACTTCTCATTTTTGAATTGTTGTAAATAAATATCACATTTGCAAATGCGTGTTCAAAAAATGCAGGGCAATCACTTCATGTGACCCTGCAAGAGAAGAAAAAAATCACCCACTGACTTTCAAAGCTGCTACATAACAACATTCTACTTTGAGGACCTTGACAGAAATGTAGTGTCATAAGTTTCCAGGGAAAAAAAATACTCAAGTAAAATACAGATACCTGAAAAGTGTACTTAAAGGCACAATATGTAAGTTTTCGCCTAGAGGGTGCGTATTCAAAACAAACAAAGAAACAAAGGCGTAGTTTGATGACGCCGTGACTGAGTGTGGAATCATGGGAGTTGTAGTCTTCATCCCCACAGCCGATGCAATCCGACGGGACTCGGGCAGAAATCATGTTCATGGATGAGCTAATGATTTATTAACGTAGTAGAATGAAGCAGAGTGAAGCTGAAAGCCGTCGAAGCAAAACGATGCCAGTCAGCAAAATATATAACACTGTACTAGTGGTTTTTGGATATTTTAATAAAAAAATCGTACATATTGTGCCTTTAAATACTATGCCCTATGAATTAATTTATTTTCTCAAGTGTAATATTTAACAGATATCAAGAAGGGGCCACAAGAGGCTGGTTTTAATATAACCCGGAGGACTTTACCCCATGCATCATCAAACTTTGTGTAAAAAAAAAAAAAAACACATGTTATGGAAGTTACGTAATGGGGACTGAAGCTAATAAGCAAATTCTGGTTTTGGCTTAAATCGATCTGTTATTGCATTGAATAAAGCAGTGCATATGAGAGAGAGAGTCAAGAAGAGCTTCTGGGAAAAAAAAAAACGTCTGGTCAACTTAATTCAGGTGAGTGAAACTGTGTTTCTTTTATGGATTCTTTCCAGCTTGGTATTAAAGTACATGCAATGTATTACCTTTTAAACTATAAAGAGCTCACAACAAGGACATCTAAAATAATGTCTTTCAAGTTTGCATATATTAATTATTTGCTTGTGCAGATTTCTCTGAAATATACATGCATGTTTTTGCACGTTATTTGCAAAGACATCATTTTCATCAATATTAAGTCAGCTGTAAGATTAAACACATGGCAGCACTGGTGAATGGTGACATTTAAAATAGAACTGGCTACATTTTATTTGCAAATAGGATTCCAAGATAAAGAAGAAAATTATTTAAGAAATAAAACTGCTGAGAAAGTAAAAAAAAAAGCCAATGGGGTTGTACAAAGAACTTTCCCACATATATAAAACAAATTACGTTTTCAAATTTACTAAAGATGTACAGTATTTTCACTTTTATGGCACTTTTTTTCTGCAGACATGAGGGTGTGCATCATTGGAGCGGGGGTCATCGGCCTCTCCACTGCTCAGAGCATCTACCAGCACTTCCACGACAGGATCACCCCTCTCAGCATAGAGGTGTATGCTGATGTCTTCACTCCACTCACCACCAGCAACGGGGCAGCTGGACTCTGGCAGCCGTATCTCTATGACAAGGGGAACGTGCAAGAAATGTGAGCTTTTATTTGTGTGGAAGCGTCTGAATCTAATAGTGTCAGTGAATCAGTTGAAGCACATCCTCATGTTTCTCAATTATCCTGAAGAACCCAGGATGCTCTATATTCTATAGCCGCAAGAAATATGTTTTATTTCCTTTTTCTCAGTAAATGGAACAAAGAGACATTTGTCTATCTACTAAGTTGCCTCAGCTCTCCAGATTCAGTGAGAATGGGAATCTTCCTTCAGTCTGGCTACAATCTGTGCACTGAAACTGCACCTGTGAGAATGCTGTCATTTAAAGATACTGTGTTGGGCTTTTGCCAGCTGACTAAACGTGAACTGGACATGTTCCCAGGATACAGGTACTTATCACTGCTTCTGATCAATTTTGATAATGGATATTGCTGAGATTGTTTTCAAAGTCAAAGTCCTCTACAAGACGGAGTAATATTCAATTTAATTGGACATTCTGATTGAATCAGTGCAGGCCAATATATTATTGGTATTTAAGGTTCAGTTTTAATTTCAGCTCAGTTTAAATGTAATGGATCTCAGCGTCCATTACATTACATATCTACATTTCCATTTCCACCCTTTCAGTTTTGGGTGAAACTATTATGATTGAAGGAAAGTCATACCTGCACTGGCTTATGGACTGGTGAGAGATCTTATGATTTTATGTGTGTGTGTGAGATCTTTGAGTTCAGCTCATGAAAAATGGGGGCAAAAACAAAAGTGTTGCGTTTATAATTTTGTTCAGTGTATATGTATATAATTTTCTGGTGTTCTCTATACAGGTTAAAACAAAGGCAAGTCAAGTTTCATCAGAGAAAGATTGGTTCATTTAGAGGTTTGCACATTTGCCGCATTGTGTAAATGGCCCCTAAGACAAGAATAGCAGCCCTAATGTTTTTTTGAGCTGCTCTTTACTGTGAACATCATCTATACTGTTGTAAAATGATTTTCTAAAAAAAAAAAAAAAAAAAAGGGGCTCCAGTTAGCAGATAGTTGA